ATTCCAATTAGGATAAATATCAGATCAATGTAATAATAGGTTAGATCATTTAAAGAGTCAATTACATGTTAGATTAATAATAGGTCAAATAATATCAATTATTTACCAAGTTAATTTTGGGTTCGTATTTATAAGGTTGGCTTTAATTTTGAAATTATCAGGTTCAATTTGGGTTATGTCATTTTCAAGTCATGTATAGGTCAGGTTAGATTTATACTCTAAAAATTTAGATCAAGTCAAAGTCAAGTAGATGATATATATTTTTCAAATCGAATAAAAAATATAAAATTTTCGAATCAAATCGAATTTAGATAAAAAAAAATACATATTTTTTAATAGAGTCGAGTCGATAAAAACGAACTCTAATCCAACAAGTTCTCATCCCTAATATTGCTTCCTAAAAAAGATACTCTAAATTACATGAAAGACAAGCCCATGGCCCAACGCAGTCCCCAGACAAATAATAGGATTAGATCTATTAAAAGTTTAAAACCATATATAGTAAATGACAATATCCAGAACTTGTAGAATTTACAATGCACACAATTTAGTGTTCTTGTAAAAAAAAAAAGAAATTACTTAATATATATGCATAATAAAATAACTTCACTATCCACATTCCAATTCAACATTCCTCCAAATCCAGATGCTGCTCTTGCTTAAACCTACCAACCATTCTTATCTTGTTAGTGTAAACAAAAGAACCCAGACAGTCAAGCATGTCTCTTCAACAAAGATCCCTCCTTTTCTTCTTCTTCTTCTTCTTCTTCTTCTTACAAGTTTTAGCTTTAATGGTTTCAATCCCATCATCAAACCCACAGTTCCAATGCCAAGCTCCCAACTTTAACTCCTACCCCTTTTGCAACACTTCCCTGTCCATCACAGACAGAGCTCAATCCCTCATTTCTCTTCTGACCTTTGAAGAAAAGGTCCATCAATTGTCCAACAATGCTTCTGGAATCCCAAGGCTTGGGATCCCCCCTTACCAATGGTGGTCGGAGTCTCTTCATGGGATCGCCAGTAATGGCCCTGGAGTTACCTTCGATGGCCGTGTTAAAGCAGCCACAAGTTTCCCTCAGGTTCTTCTCACAGCTGTTTCTTTCAATAGAACCCTTTGGTTCAAGGTGGGGTTGGCCATTGGTGTTGAGGCCAAAGCCATGTATAATGTTGGACAAGCTGGTTTGACTTTTTGGGAACCCAATATTAATATTTTCAGGGACCCCAGATGGGGAAGAGGGCAGCAGACCCCTGGGGAGGATCCCATGGTTGTTTCTGCTTATGCTGTTGAATTTGTGAATGGTTTCCAGGGTGGGTCCTTGAGAGGTAGTAGAAAACTCAGAGATGGGTTTGGGAGAAAGAGGACACTTAGAGGAGGATTTAATGATGATGATAGGCTTATGAATTCTGCTTGTTGCAAGAATTTTATTGCCTATGACTTGGAGAAGTGGATGAATTTCAGCAGACACAGCTTCAATGCCATGGTAAAGTCTTCCCTTTTACATTGTCTTTTTATTCCGCAACTTTGTTTTGTGCCATTTCAAATAAATTTAGCTCAACTTATCTCTTTGAATATGAAATCTAGCTCATCTGTGTTGAAGGTTACTAAGCAAGATATGGAGGATTCATATGAGCCGCCGTTTCGTAGCTGTATACAGCAAGGTAAGGCGAGCTGCTTGATGTGTTCCTACAATGCGGTCGATGGGGTGCCGGCTTGTGCGCGTGAAGATCTTTTACAAAAAGCTTGAAATGAATGGAGCTTCAAAGGGTAAAACAAATTAGTAGTTTCTTATACATCAACAAATGAAAATTTTGAAATTCAACCTTATTTGGTTAGTACTCGTTAAACATTTTCGGGGTCCTTTTATGTCATAATTCAGATACATCACCTCAGACTGTGATGCTGTTGCAACCATTCAAGACTACCAAAACTACACAAGAAAGCCCGAGGATGTTGTTGCTCTTGTTCTTAAAGCAGGTTTCTCGAATCATATCCTTTACAGCTGAATTGGTTAATGAATTTTGGCTAGATCTGCCATTAGAACGTTCATTTTGAGGATTGAGATTAAGTTGGTTGTCTGTAGGAATGGATATTAACTGTGGAACATATCTCGTTCAACATACTCAGAATACAATTGAGGAACAAAAGTTGCAAGAAAAAGACATTGATAGAGCCCTTCTGAATCTTTTCTCGGTTCTACTCCGTCTTGAGCTGTTTGATGGATACCCCAGAAATGGGCAGTTTGGGGAGTTGGGATCTCAAGACGTTTGTACCACAGAGCACAAGATGCTGGCACTTGAAGCAGCAAGGCAGGGAATTGTTCTGCTGAAGAACGACAAAAAATTCCTGCCTCTAAATAGAATGTTGTTTCTTCCTTAGCTGTTATCGGTCCAATGGCTAACAACATAAGAAATATGGGTGGTGGCTACACAGGTATGGCTTATGCAATAATGTTTTATTCTTTGAGGTTTATATCAACTTCCATAGTCTTTTTTTAATTTTTGGACTGTTTGATGTAGTTATATGATTATGTGCTATATGAAGCATTGTAACATGGCAAGCTACCGGAGACTATCTCAATTGGGACTTACCATGTCTCCTTATATCTGTGTCAAGTCATATTTAATGTGTATAAATGATTGTTTGATATTCTTCATATGGCAGGTGTTCCATGTGAACCATAGAGCTTTTTTGAGGGACTGCAAGGCTATATAAAGAAGGCATCCTTTGCTTCCGGTTGCTCTGATGTGCCGTCTGAGTCTGATGATGGGTTTAATGAAGCAATTCTTACTGTCAAGGAAGCTGATTTTGTGATTGTAGTTGCTGGGCTGGATTTGTCCCAAGAAACTGAAGATCATGACCGAATTAGTCTCTTCCTGCCAGGTAAACAGATGGCCCTGGTGTCTTCTGTTGCTGCAGCAAGTGGAAGACCCATAATTCTTGTTCTCACCGGTGGTGGACCCCTTGATGTATCGTTCGCGGAAGGAAACCCAAATGTTGCGAGTATTCTCTGGGTTGGATACCCTGGGGAAGCCGGCGGAAAGGCACTTGCAGATGTCGTCTTTGGTGACTTTAACCCAGGTTGGTAGCTACAAGAACTATCACTCATTAACTGGCATCTAACCACTGCATGGAATTTAAAGTTCAATTTTTGTGGCATTTGGTAGTTGAAAATCCAGGTTTGAGAGAATAATTGTCGAACATGAGCAAGCTATCTCTTGATGTATGTAACTAATTAATCTAATTGTGACACACCAACTGGCATTTTTTTCTCTATAGCACTCGAAACTGCACCTCCATTCTTGCTTAGTTTTAATGGGATGTTTGGATATTTGAAAACAGGTGGAAGGCTTTCCGATGACTTGGTATCCCGAATTGTTTACTAAGGTTGCAATGAATGATATGCATATGCATGCTGATCCTTTTCGTGATTTTCCGGGGAGAACCTACCGGTTTTACACCGGAAATAAAGTCTATGGCTTCGGCCAAGGCTTAAGCTATACGAATTTCATCTACAAACTCTTGTCTGCTCCAAGAAAACTAAGTTTATCCAGGTCCTTGACAGGCACTTCAGTTAAGAATATATTGCACCAGAGACGAGAAGTCGATTATATACACGTCAATGAGGTGACATCGTGTGATTCATTGGGATTCTATGTGCATATTTCGGTAGCAAATGTAGGAGACATGGACGGAAGCCATGTCGTCATGTTGTTCTCCAGAGCATCTAAAAATTTCTCGGGAACTCCGGAGAAGCAATTAATTGCATTCGATCGTGTACATACTAGTTCATACGGATCGACAGAAACAAGCATTTTAGTGAATCCTTGTATCCACCTTAGCAATGTTGACCACGAAGGGGAAAGGATGTTGCCCCTTGGTGAACATGTTCTAACTTAATGATGCTTTTAAGAATCCTAAAAAATTGTATTGCATGCTATTTTTATTAACAGTGCAAATTGTTTCAGATTAGATGATGTTTTACGTTGGTATTATATTACAATTGTTTAACATCATTGTATAAAACTGGAATTTATACAATGATCAATAATGATGAAATGTACAAATTTTTCTAATTTGAAATGATTTGGTTCACATCATCTTGGACGTTTGTATGTAATTATAAGATGGGAGAAAATCCCGTTCTGGAGCAAGGATCATAAGTTACATCTAGGGCAGTAAACAAGTCGTGTCATGTTCGATTATTGTTGACTTTGACTTGACTTAAAAGTTCAAAACTAAATTTGATTCGATTTAAAAATTCTCGAGTTAAAATTTTCAAATTTCATGTGAACTCGAAATCAAAAATTGAAGTTTGACTCAAACTCAAATAAACTTGAATTGAAAACATTATCAGAGATCGAAGTTCAAATTCGAGCTTAGCTCAAGCTCAAACTTTTGGACATTAAACCTTAAATATATGAAAAACCTTGTATTACACTTTTTAAAAAAGAAAAACCCAACATATAAATATTAATATTTTCAATAATTTAATTAAAAAAATTGTTAAGAACTCGAGTTAAATTCAAACTCGAATTGAGCCCAGTTATGCTTAATTAAACTTTAACCGAATCAAACTGGAGTAACTTCCATATGTGTATCTCATTTTCAAGCCTAATTACATCCTATATTAACTTTTGTTGTCTGGAATAAAGGAAAATTTGAGTTTAAAAAATCCTCCTCTATGTAAATGATCAAATAATAATCAGTTGAACCCAATCAAATTCTATCAACTTAGTTCTGATAAGCTTTTTTCACTCAAGAATGTCAGAAAAAACATGTTCATATATATTTTTTTCAACTCCATTTTCAAATAGATTTCATTCATGACATACAAAACATAATATGCAAGCATTGGGAAACTGCACGTTCATCGGATAAATAGAAAAAGTTCCAAGGATTGCATCCACAATCCTGCAAAAATGAGCATAAAAAATCCAAGGATTGCATCCACAATCCTGCTGCTTGAGTTTTTTTCTTTCTTTTTTTTTACGTTGACACGTATAATTCAAGGTTGAATCATTGATCAAATTAATAATTGGATGAAAAACATGAGTCAGCTATCATGTGTCTATTTCTTGGCCTCCTGGTATTCTGCTTCTGGAGTCTGATCATCAGCTGACGACCCTCCAGGGGAACCATCGCCACCCGAACCAGAACCCTTACTAATGTGCTCTCCGATCTTCGAAACAGCCTTATTGGCAGCATCCATTTTAGCCTTGATTTCATCTACATTGTCCCCTGCCATTGCCTTCCTCAAATCTGCCACAGTAGACTCTATCTCTGATGCAATCTCATTTGGAATCTTTTCTTTGTACTCACTCAAGCTCTTCTCGATACTGTATATGCTTGTGTCAGCACTATTTCTCAAGTCGATCAAAGCTCTTCTCTCCTCGTCTTTCTGAGCATGCAATTCAGCCTCCTTCACCATCTTATCAATCTCATCCTCCGAAAGACCGCCAGATGATCGGATCGTGATTTGCTGTTCTTTTCCTGTTGCCTTATCCTTGGCAGAAACAGTTACAATCCCATTGGCATCTATGTCAAATGTGACTTCAATTTGTGGCAAGCCCCTAGGTGCTGGCGGAATACCAACAAGATCAAACTCCCCCAAAATCTTATTGTCGGCTGCCATGTGACGTTCACCTTGAAGAACTTTGATTCCAACCTGAGTCTGGTTGTCAGCTGCAGTAGAGAAAACCTGAAAAACCACAAAAGCTAGTGTTATTTTTTGTTGAAAAGATATCTCGACACCTCTTAAGATGGATTGTGAGGATGCTTAACAAATTAAACTACTATAATACCAGCAAGCAAAAACACTAAGGTATCGATTGAAACAGCAATAATACTTACATACACAAAAATGGTAAGGATTCGTTTGAGCAAACAGGTGTGCATTGTTAAAACATTATGTAAATATTCAGTTGCAGGCTAGAAAATATATTAAGCTGCTCTCACAATATCCGGATTTTAATATATCTGATGCAACACAAAATGTATATTATTACTAACCTGTGATTTTTTCGTAGGTATGGTTGTATTTCTGTTGATCAACCTAGTGAAAATTCCTCCAAGTGTTTCTATTCCAAGTGACAGAGGAGTTACATCCAACAGAAGCAGCTCCTTAACATCACCTCGAAGGATACCACCTTGAATAGCAGCTCCCATTGCAACTGCCTCATCAGGATTAACCCCTTTGCTGGGAGACTTGCCAAAAATTTCAGAAACAAATTCTTGCACCTTGGGGACACGAGTCATTCCCCCAACAAGCAATACTTCATTCACTTCATTGATGGATATTCCAGCATCCTTCAAACAATTCTTACATGGAATTCTAGTTCTCTCAATCAGGCTGCTGACTATACCCTCAAACTTGGATCTGGTTAGTGTTATATTTAAATGTTTTGCTCCTGAAGCATCAGCAGTTATGAATGGAAGGTTGATTTCTGTTTGGGATGTAGATGAAAGTTCAATCTTAGCCTTTTCAGCTGCCTCCCGTAGCCTCTGTAGGGCAAGCCTGTCCTTTGAGAGATCAATATTATCAGTTCTCTTAAACTCACTCACCAAATATTCTAGTAGTGCATTGTCAAAGTCCTCTCCACCCAAGAAAGTGTCTCCATTTGTTGCTTTTACCTGATAAAAGTGCTCTCTAAGTGAATCAATTTATCAAAGCAATAAATAAATCATGTAAAGGAAAACAAGCATACCTCGAAAACACCATTAGAAATTTCTAATATAGAAACATCAAAAGTTCCACCTCCAAGGTCAAATACTGCTATGATACCCTCTTTGTTATTCATCCCGTATGAAAGTGCAGCAGAAGTTGGTTCGTTGATAATCCTTTCAACGTCTAACCCAGCAATCCGCCCAGCATCCTTGGTGGCCTGCCTTTGTGCGTCATTAAAATAAGCAGGAACAGTGATGACAGCTTTAGTCACCGTTTTACCAAGGTATGCCTCAGCAGTTTCCTTCATCTTTGTTAGAACAAATGCACCAATCTGGCTTGGGGAATAAATTTTTCCATCGGCTTCAAGCCAAGCATCCCCATTGGGGGCTCTAACAATCTTGTATGGCACCATCTTCATTTCCTTCTGTGTTTGAGCATCATCGAAACGTCTCCCTATCAGACGTTTGGTTCCAAACAATGTGTTGGTTGGGTTGGTCACAGCCTGACGTTTGGCTGGGGTTCCAACAATTAGCTCCCCCTGCTGGTTGAAGGCAACCACAGACGGCGTGGTTCTAGCTCCTTCAGAATTCTCAATCACTCTAGCGTTCTGCAAGAAAATAGTCCAAGTAACATAGTTCCATTTTCCCCAAAACACAAATGCAAACATACACTTCAACAAAGATAAATATAATAATCTACCTTTCCATCCATCAGCGATACACATGAATTGGTTGTACCCAAGTCAATACCGATAACATCGTTTCCAACAGGTCTTGAGCTGTAATGTAGAAATAACAATATCTTAGCAAATAATAAAACCATTGAGATGGATTTGTTTAGAAGAAACAATAAGAATACCTAAAGGGTCTAGCCAAGGATGCCCATCTGACCAGAGGATAGCTAGCCAATGAAGTCTTTGCATTTCCAGTCAACTATAACAAGAATCAGAAACACAAGCAAACTTCAACAGCCAATTAAAACAAGTCCACACACACACAGTAATTTATCATCATAAGAGAACAGAAAGTATGCCATTTCAAATTTGATTAATAAAGATAATCCACAAACGCTCACTCATAAGTATTAAAAACATTCTAGTCTAAAATTATAATAATTCAGGAGCTCTGAACTAATCAAAGATGAAGCAATCCAACTTAATCTAAACAGTTGAATCCAACAACTAAAAGAGTCCAAAATGATCTTATCATTTGATCTAAAGACTACGACCCGTAAAAACTTAGACCTTCAACCATAAATGTTGGCTAAGACTCTACAACGCTCTCCCACGGATGAATAGAGGAATCAAGTTGTAAAATAAGTTAACAAGAAATGGAAAAAATAAAATACATCAAAAAAAATTAAGTTTTGACGGGAATAAGAAAAAACATACGGATCTGCAAGCGGAGAGAGATGCGGAGTGAAGGTCACGGCGCTGTGAAGCACGGCGGAGAGCGGAGGCAGCCATGAGAGGAGGGAAATGAAGATGCCTTAGAAGACTGGCGATGTCTAGGGTTTTAGCCAATATGATTTGTAGGCTTTATTTAACATGAAGGGTTTTGTGATGGAATGATTGTTTTGTCCTTGTATTATTTCGTGACCTGAAGGGTAAAATAAGGAATGGGATTGGAAAATGTCAACATTCGAACTTGGGATCGTTCTTGGGCAGCAAGAAATGAGTCGAACTAATCCCGTACTATTCATATTAATGAATTTTATTAGAATATATTTTTTAGGTTTAAGTAAACAAATGGTCTGCGGTACTGTTTTATTAATTTTTTTAATGTTAAAAATTATAAAATAATCAATTAACTATAAAGTGTTATTTTGTTGAGTATATCGATCATTAAAAGTTACAAAATAATCATTTGACTATTTATTATGTTCCAATTTAGATCATTAATGAATGTTAATATAATAACGTGATATGATAAAATATTATTTTATAATTCCAAATGACTATTATATCTCACTCATTATATCAACGTCCAACTTAGACAATCATTAATATTTTAACGAAAAATGACAAGTTCTAATATAATAAATAGTTAGGTGATCATTTTATAATTTTTAATACGAAAGACTTCATAAAATAGTACCATATAGTCGGAATACTATTTATGTGTTTTACCCTATTTTTTTATTTAGTCCTTTAAGATTGAGAATAGTTTTATATATATTTTTACAATATGTTTGTTTATTTTTGTAGGATATTTTTTCTATGATTAAATTTGATAGTCTCTTCAAATGTCTATGATGTATATTTAGTTATCTTTATTTTTATGTTAGTGTATGGTATTATTTTATACCATCAATAGTAAAAAGGTGATTATAAGATAATAATTAATTAATTAATTAACTAACCCTTATTCCCATATGTAATGGGGTAAGGGGGAGGTAGGATAGTAGGCTGCCCCCAACACCAGGTTGAGAGCAGCTTCCGTAGGAGACCTCCGAATTATGAAATGCCTTCCGTGGGACTCGATCCCACGACCCCAAGGTTAAGAACCTTGTGCTCCAAATTATAAGATAATATATGTTTAATATATTTTTTAGTCATCAACAACGTATATACATCTTGTAAATATAGATACTCAAATTTAGGACTTCTAGAGAGAAAATTACTATTTTTACCACAGAAGTTATTCTTCATTTATATATATTATTTAACTAAATCATTTAATTTTTTAATTTTTTATTATTAAGTGTTTTTTATGATTTTAGAAGAAATAGTCATACATGTTAATTGTGATTGGTATTGTGTTTGATCAAGTAAAAAATATTAATTTTTTAAGATAAATATCAAAAAATGTTGAAAACATTTTGATGTTTCGATATAACAAATAAAGTGTAAATGAAATTTAAGATTTTATATTCGATTTCAAAAATAATATTCGATTAAAATAATCGAATATAAAAAATATTACTCCAAGTCTTCAAATGTCAATTTCAATCCTTACTTAAGTGTAAAATTGTGTTTCAATCTTAAAATATTTTTGAAACAATTTTTACATAGTATTTCGAACCTTAATCGAGACAAAAAAAATTTAAGTAGGGGTGTACCAATACACTCTTTGGATGTACCGATACCCCTGAATTTTGAATGTAATAAGGGTATTGATACATAGCCGAATGTAATAATACCCCTCATGTTATAATCAGCTTCAACCTATTGTATAAACTTTTTCAGCTTCAACTTGTCGTTTATCACAAACTCGTCCGCATTTTCCATTCCAATGTGGTTTGTGTCCAAAACGAGTCTCAAACTGCCACTGTTAGTATTCGGTCTTATCTCCTATGCCAATACATTCATATTGACTCCGAATCAATCGCTAGGACATTTGGTTTAGATAATGAGGACTTAGATAACGAGAGAGAAATTATGGCTACCCGTTATAGAGCCAAGGCTAGTGCGAGTACATTGTCAGATCATCATGAACATTTTCTTCATTTGATCATCTCTTGGTGGTTTAGACCATCCGGAGGTAAATATTCTACTCTTAGAGCACTTGACCTTTGGTGGATAAATTGTATCCAAAATAATAAGAAAATAAATCTGCCACAGATTATTTTTGCTGAACTAGTTGAAACCGTAAACAATATCCCATCTAAACAAGTAGAAATCTTAGTAATTTATTTATCAAATCCAAGCTTAGGGTTTATCTTGATTTAACCATCCCTCTTAAAAGCCAAATAAATCTCAAAACTTTTCATAAATCGGGATGGAGTGGGGATAAAGATCAATGGGTTCGATCAACCCAGAAAACACCAGGTAATAGTTCTTCACGAGCTGCACCGACACCGGTTGCTGAAGATCCAGAGCTTGAAGATCTTCTTCGGGATGTCGATGATCCCGTTAACCTAGCTGAGGACGAGCTGGTCCAGCAAGAGAGTCATATGCCTCCATATTTTCGTTCTTTCATGGAGACATTTGACATGAGGTTTGCATCCATAGAGTCCCACTTAACCGCTATAGGGGCTCAACAATTGAAGAATCAACGGGAGATGCGAACTAACCGTGAAGTAATGGATCATCGATTCAATGCTATGGAAGAAAGGCTCAATACGCTTACACTCGATATGGCTGCTCTACGAGCACATTTTCCTCTTCCCGACCCACCAATGGATGACTAAACCATTTCTTGCTTGTTTTCATTGGTTGAAGTTGAACTTGAAATATTATTAGAACATTTTGAATGTTTGGATGTTTGTTAGAATATTTGTTTTGAATGTTTAATATTTGGATTTGTTTGTTTGACTTTGGTTGATTTTGAATGATTATTAGTTATTTGCACTTGTATTGAATTTTCATAATTGTTGCATCATTTACATATTAGATAAATTATGACCAATTACCATTACACATTGTTTATGAATATTAATTATGGACTAATTGCTAACAATTCTCTTGATTGTGATCTTAGCAACTATAGTTATATTTATATAAATCAATTGGCTATTTTCCTTAAAATCTTGTTTAAACGGTTTTCATAGAGTCTTTTTGATTTAACAAAAGGGGAGAATAAAGTAAGGGGGTAATTTTTCAAAATTGATTTAAAAATGATTTTCAAAAAGAAAATCTTAAAATTACTAAAATGTTTTGTTATATCAAAAAGGGGGAGATTGTTGAAAACATTTTGATGTTTCGATATAACAAATAAAGTGTAAATGAATTTTAAGATTTTATATTTGATTTCAAAAATAATATTCAATTAAAATAATCGAATATCAAAAATATTAATTCAAGTTTTCAAATGTCAATTTTAATCCTTACTTAAGTGTAAAATTATGTTTTAATCTTAAAATATTTTTGAAACAATTTTTACAAAGTATTTCGAACCTTAATCGAGCCAAAAATGATTTTTAAGTAAGGGTGTACCAATACACTCTTCGGATATATCGATACCCCTGAATTTCGAATGTAATAAGGGTACCGATACACAACCGAATGTATCGATACCCCTCATGTTATAATTGGCTTTGAGAAACATCGAATGCAATTAGTGTATCGATACCCCTGGGAGGTACCGATACATTTGGTCAAATAACTGTCGAAATATTTGAATTTTATACTGGGTGTACCGATACCTTCTGAAGGTGTACCGATACCCCTACGCTCCTAACCTATTTTTAAATGGAAAACATACAACAACAGTTCTATTGACTTCACCAATGATCTCCAACGTTCAGAATTGATCCAATGTGTATTTAAACAAGTCTTGAAGCCATTGATGAAGATTAAGAAACAAGAATTAAGAGAAAAACAAAGAGAAAGCCTTAAAAATCAAGTTTGAGCAATTCAAGCCCTATTTCCATTCAATATTCATTCTTGCTTTCAAGAACACCATTTGTGCTCAATTGTATTTATTCTTGAGTGTTCTTTATTTGTTCTAGAATTGTGCAAACTACTTGCCTTGAGAGGTTTTTCTATAAGTTTGCAAAATTTGTAATTTTCTCTTTGGGAGAGAGTGTTCTCAAGAATTTGGGGTATAATTCTTGAGTGATTTATAAGGTTACTCTTTGTCCTCAAAAGAAAGACAAATGAGTGAATTTGTGGAAAATCCTTAGTGTGTATAGCTAAGGTAGTGGATGTAGACTTTGGTTGAGAAAGTCGAACCACTCTAAATCGTTGTGCAAATCTTTTTAATTTTCTGCAAAAACTTCCACCAAAAGTTTTATTGCCAATTCACCCCCTCTTGACCGATTCATCCGATCGATAAACTCAGCAAAGATCAAATCACCTAGAATAAGAGATGATCAAGGACAATGAAAGAGACTTGGCAGCGACCTTCACCTGGATGGACCAAAGTTAATGTAGATGGTGTCGTAAGAATTGCAGACGAGACAGCAACATATGGTGAAGTGATTAGATATTATCAAGGATAATGAATTTATGGCTTCGCACGTAGTCTCGGAAGGTGTTCGACGCTTATGGCAGAGGTATGGACTGCCAGTGATGCACTTAAACATGCATAGAGGTTAGGAATTAAGAAGTAGTTAGATTGATTAACGATAATGTAAGAACGCTGTAAAAGAACTCAATAGTGAAAAGTGTTCGAAGACTATTGTAGTAGGATTGAGAGGTAAAGGTTCAACATGTGGGAAGAAAGAAAAACAAAGTAGCTGATAACTTAACAAGAGCCAACAGTGATGGACTGATTAGAGAGACGGGATTTGAGTCACCTCCTAACTTTATTCTAGACCAGCTCCAAGAGGGCATAACAGGCTCTTCCAACTGGGTTAATATGCTCTCGAGCTATTACAAGCAAAATAGAAGGCCCTTACAATATGAGTCTTATGGCACATACACATTTACCAAGGTAAAACGCACAACATTGAGGAAGTTTCTACCTTTGTTATGGAGAACCCCGTTTAGAAATCCAAATCATTTTGTAAAAATTCAACCAATCATTTTCACATTGATTTTAACAAAAATATAATTTAGGAAACAAGGTTATGATCCCAATAAACAGAGGTAGATTTATTAAATTACAAGAATATACATGGATATCAAAACAAATACCC